ATGTGCAAAAATCACAAGCATTTATACACCAATAACAGACAAACAGAGAGCCAAATCATGAATGAGCTCCCATTCACAATGCTTCAAAAGAGAATAAAATACCTGGGAATCCAACTTACAAGGGATATGAAGGACCTCTTCAAGGAGAACTACAAACCACTGCTCAACGAATAAAAGAGGACACAAACAAAAATGGAAAGCATTCCATGCTCACGGATAGGAAGAATCAATATCGTGAAAATGGCTATACTGCCCAAGGTAATTTATAGATTCAATGCCATCCCCATCAAGGCTACCAATGACTTTCTTCACAGAATTGGAAAAACTACTTTAAAGTTCATATGGAACCAAAAAAAGAGCCTGCATTGCCAAGACAATCCTAAGCCAAAAGAGCAAAGCTAGAGGAAAAAAACTACCTGACTTCAAACTATACTACAAGGCTACAGTAACCAAAACAGCAAAAAAAAAACACCAAAACAGAGATATAGACCAATGGAACATAACAGAGCCCTCAGAAAAAAAAACATCCATCTACAACCATCTGATCTTTGACAAACCTGACAAAAACAAGAAAAAAAAAAAAGATTCCCTATTTAATAAATGGTGCCTGGAAAATTGGCTAGCTATAAAAAAAAAGCTGAAACTGGATTTACACCTTATAAAAAATTAATTCAAGATGGATTAAAAAAAAAAATGTTAGACCTAAAACCATAAAAACCCTAGAAGAAAACGTAGGCAACACCATTCAGGACATAGACATGGGCAAGGACTTCATGTCTAAAACACCAAAAGCAAAGGCAACAAAAGCCAAAATTAACAAATGGGATCTAATTAAACTAAAGAGCTTCTGCAAAAGAAACTACCATCAGAGTGAACAGGCAACCTACAGAATGGGCGAAAATTTTTGCAATCTACTCATCTGACAAAGGGCTAATATCCAGAATCTACAAAGAATACAAACAAAATTTCAAGAGAAAAACAAACAACCCCATCAAAAAGTGGGCAAAGGATATGAACAGACACTTTTCAAAAGAAGACATTTATGCGGCCAACAGACACATGAAAAAATGCTCATCATCACTGGTCATCAGAGAAATGCAAATCAAAACCACAATGAGATACCATCTCATACCAGTTAGAATGGTGATCATTAAAAAGTCAGGAAACAACAGATGCTGGAAAGGGTGTGGAGAAATAGCAACGCTTTTACACTGTTGGTAGGAGTGTAAACTAGTTCAACCATTGTGGAAGACTTTGACCTTGGTCAGCATGGCCATGACCTGGGCCAACTCATGATGAGTAAGAGGATGGCAAGTTGAGGCAAGCTGGGCAGCCCTGATATTCCACAGTGAGGCTCAGAGGTGAGTTGGGTCATCAGTTTGTTAGAGAGTAGAGAGCTTTTTGAAGGCTTTCTGAAAGCAAGCACTATTTCCTTCCTCCATCAACTTAATGGTCAAGAGAACGTCTTCTGATAAGAGCTGCTCCCAGAACACATTAGAAAGAGAGCAGGCTCTCTTGCAAAGCTCATAGCATTTCCCCCAAAATCTTCCTGAGTGAGCTTTTGAAAACCCTCCATCCCTTTATTTACATAGTCTAAAACCTGTTAAGGCAGCTATAGCAGGTAATTTTTTAGGGTCCATGAGCCTCTTGGGATTGATGAAAATGTAATGTGTATGAAAAATTTTTTGGTGGAAATCATCAAAAGCTTTCTTTAGATTCTCAATGAAGTTCTTTACCTACAAACCTAAAAAAAAAACTCAAAACAAAACAACACAACAACAAACAAAGATTGGTCTAGAGAATAGAGAGTAAAAGTCTCAGCTCCTTGGCATGGTAAAAAAACTCATCACAACCTAGTCCTGTCCCACCCTAGCCACACTTTCTGTGCATTGTGAAATCTAGGCATGTGATACTCCATTCTTTTTTTTTTTTTTTTGTAGATGGAGTCTCACTCTATCGTCCTGGCTGGAGGGCAGTGGCATGATCTCAGTTCACTGTAACATCCGCCTCCCAGGTTTAAGCAATTCTTCTGCCTCAGCCTCCCGACTAGCTGGGACTACAGGTGAGTGCCACCACACCTAATTTTTGTATTTTCAGTAGAGACGAGGTCTCACCATATTGGCCAGGCTGGTCTCGAACTCCTGACCATGTGATCCGCCCACCTCGGACTCCGAAAGTGCTGGGATTACAGGCATGAGCCACCGCGCCTGGCGGTATTCCATTCTTGAAAAGCCTCGTGGACTATTATCCTTAAGGACATTTGCATGTACAATCAATGTGGTCTTTTCAAGTAACCAATTTTGATTTTGTTGATTTTCTTTATTGTTTTAGTATAGTCTATTTCATTTACTTCTGCACTAATATTTATTTATTTTTTCTTTCACTTGCTTTTGGTTTAGTTCACTCTTCGTTTTTTAGCTTCTTAAGGTGAAAGGCTAAATTATTGCTTTGAGATCTTCTTTTGTGATATAGGGGGTTGTAGTTATAAATTTCCCTCTAAGCCCTCTTTTTGCTGCTTTCCACACATTTTGTTATGTTGTGCTTTTGTTTTCATTCATCTTGGAGTGTTTTCTCATTTTTCTTGTGATTACTTTTTTGACTCATTGGTTATTTAGGTGTGTGTTATTTAATTTCCACGTATATGTGAATTTCCCAAATTTTCTTTTGTTGTTGATTTCAAATTTCATTCACTTGTGGTCAGAGAACATACTTCGTATAATTTTAATTCTTTTATTTACACTTGTTTTATGTGCTAACATATGGTCATTCATGAAGAATATTTTGTATGTGCTCAAGAAGAAAGTATATTCCAGTGTTGTTGCATGGAGTGTTCTATTATAGATGTCTATTAGGTCTAGTTAGTTTATAGTGTCTTTCAAGTCTCCTATTTCCTCACTGACTTTTTGTCTGGTTGTTCTATCCATTATTGTGGGTATTGAAGTATCCAACTATTATTGTCGAATTGTCTGTTTTTCCCTGATATGATAGTTTCTGCTTTATATATTTTGGGGCTCTGTCAGGTGCAGGTGCATATATTTATAATTATTATATATTCTTGATGGATTGACTCTTTTTTTTTTTTTTTCAAGATGGAGTCTATCTCTGTCACTCAGGATGGAGTGTAGTGGCATGATCTCAGCTCACTGCAAACTCCGCCTCCTGGGCTGAAACGATTCTCCCACCTCAGCCTCCTGAGTAGCTGGGATTTCAGGCACGTGCCACCATGCCTGACTAATTTTTGTATATTTAGTAGAGAAGGGGTTTTATCATATTGGTCAGGCTGGTCTTGAACTCCTGACATCAAGTGATTCACCCACCTCAGCCCTCCAAAGTGCTGGGATTACAGGTGTGAGCCAACATGCCTGGCAGGATTAACTCTTTTATCATTATAAAATGTCCTACTTTGTCTCTCATAATGAATTTTGTCTTAAAGTCTGTTTTGTCTCATATTATTATAGTTATTCCAGCTCTCTTTTGGTTTCTGTGTACATGGAACCTCTTTTTCCACCCTTTACCTTCAACATATTTTGTCTTTAAAACTAAAATATGTCTCTTATATATAGCATCTAGCTTGATCATGACTTTAGAAATTCATTCTGCCAATTTCTACCTTTTAATTGAAGAGTTTCATCCATTTACATTTAGTAAAACTACTGATAAGGTAGGATTTATGTCTATTATTTTGCTATTTGTTTTTTATATGTCTTACATGTTTTTGTTTCATTTCTGCTTTGTGTTAAACAGTTATTTTCTAGTGTTCCATTTTAATTCCTTTGTCATTTATTTTACTATATAAATTTTAAAAGTTATTTTCTTAGTATCCTGATAATTTCAATTAACATTTTAAATTATAACAGTCTATTCAGATTAATACCAATTTAATTTCAATAGTATAAAAAATCTTCACTCTTATTACTTCCATTCTCTTCTTTCTTTGTGCTGTATTGTCATACAAATTGTATATTTTTGCACTGAATGCCCATCAATACAGATTTATAATTATGGCTTTATGCAATTGTCTTTAAAGTTAGATGGGAGAACAAAAAGAATTACAAACAAAAAAATACATTTATACTGTCTTTTATGTTTACCTATATACTTTCCTTTACTAGCATTTTTTATTTCTTAATATGGATTTAAGTTACTGTCTTATATCTTTTTATTTCAGCCTAAAGGACTCCCTTTAGTATAGTTATGCATCACTTAATGTTGGAGATACATTCTGAGAACTGTGTTGTTATGCGATTTTTCATTGTGTGAAATAGAGTGTACTTACAGAAACCTAGATGGTATAGCCTACTACACGCCTAGGCTGTGTGGCATAGTCTATTGCTCTGAGGCTACAAACCTGGATAGCATATTACCATACTGAATACTGAAGGCAATTGTAACACAATACTAAGTATTTATGTATCTAAACATAGAAAAGATACATTAAAAATACAGTATAAAAACTTCATTATAATCTTGTGGGATCACTGTTGAATATATGGTACATTGTTGACTGTCATGTGGCACATGACTGTATTTTTTATAGGACAGGTTCACTAGCAATGAATTCTCTCAGTTTTTGTCTACCTGAGATTATCTTAATTACTTTTTCACTTTTGAAGGATAGTTTTGCTAGATACAGAATTTTGGTTGACAATCTTTTTCTTTAAGGAATTTGAATGTGCCATTCTAGTTTCCATGGTTTCTGATGAGAAGCCAACTCTTAACTGTTAAACTGTTGATTGAGGATCCCTTTGTATGTGATAAGTTGCTTTCCTCATGCTGCTTCCAAGAATCTTTCTTGTCTTTGGCCTTAAACAATTTGATTATGATGTGTTTATGTGTGGATCTCTTTGATATATCCTACTTGGAGTTTATTGAGTTTTTTTCCATGTGCAGATTGATATTTTTCATCAAATTTGGAAAGTTTTTGGTCATTATTTTTTCAAATATTATGTCTGCTTCTCTCTTTCTTGGATGCTTATTACACACACACACACACACACACACACACACACACACACACAGAGACAGCGTACATATTTTTGATGTTATCTCAAATGTCTCTGAACCTTTGTTCATTTTTCTCCATTCTTTTTTCCTTTCTATCCCTTAGAGTGTATAATATGAATTTACTTATCTTTAATTCACAGATTCTGTCTTCTGCCTGCTCAGATCTGCTTTTGAGCCCCTCTAGTAAATTTTTCATTTCAGTTATCATACTACTCAACTCCAGAATTTATATTTGGTTCTTTAAAAAATACGTAATTTCGATCTCCTTATTGATATTCGTTACCTGATAAGATTATTCTCATACCTTTTTCTAGTTCTTTGGATATGGTTTTCTTTAGTTCTTTGAATGTATATAGAATAAATGATTTAAAGTTTCCATCTTATAAGTTCAATATATGGGCTTCCTCAGGGACAGTTTTTATCAATTATTTTTTTTCCCCTGTGTATGTGCCTTACTTTCTTGTTTCTTTGTGTGCCTCATAATTTCTTACTGAAAACTGCATTTTAAATAACGTAATATAATACAGCAACTTTGGAAATAAGATTCTCGCCCTTCTTTGGAGTTTGTTGTTGTTGGTGTTGCTTCTTTGTGTGCTTAGCGACTTTTCTGAGGTAATCCTGCAAAGTCTGTATTTTTTGTCATGTGTGGTCACTGAAATTTCTGCTTAGTGTTCAGCTAATAATTAGACAGAGGGTGCCTTGATGCTTGGAACCAATAAGTCACCTTGTTTTTGCAGAGCGGCTCTATGTGTATGTTGGGACATGCCTTCAACACTCAGACAGGACATTTGACAACTCCACCTTAGCCTTCCTGCTTGGGCAGAGCCTTAAGCTTAGCCCAGGTTGAGAGCTCAGGACCTTCCTTAGTTTTTTCCTGCAAATGTGCACAGCCCTAGGCATGTGTACCCTCCTGTGTGTACATATGGCTTTCTATATTCCTAGGAATATTTCAGAGCCTTTCAAGGCCCTTTATAGATATTTTATTCCCCCAGATTTTCTTTTTAAGGTTTTTGGTTAGCCTGTTGTTGTTTTTTTTTTTTTTGCCTCAACTGTTATCCATTGTTTTAGGGAGCCACAAAGTCCAACAATTGTCTCCAGTTGTTTTCAACAAATACCCTTGAAGAAAAAGCTGTTCACTCCAGGCAAGTTTTGAGACAGGTGAAATAAAGACAGTCTTGCAAATGGTATCTTCCAGGGAACCACTAGACAGGTCAAATAATTACAACTCTCTGGGAATGAGGATTTGAAGGAACTCCAAGGCTGTTCTACCCCTTCTTGTAGCTGCCAGGCTGCTGGTTTCCATGGTGATTGTCGTTTGTTGGTTTTCAAGGCTACTGTAGAGTTGGGGTGAGGGGGCTGGAATTGTAGCAAGTTAAAATGCCACAAGGCTCACTCTTCTTACTAAAATTATGTCATTTTTTTTTTTTCTTGAACGAAGACTTCCCAGATTGCTGTAAACTTTTGATTAATTTCCAGAGTTCTGAAAAATTTGATTCTCACCATTTTTGCCATTTTTCTCATTGCTTTTAGGGAGGAGGGAATTTTCAGAGGATTTGACTCCTACCATTTTCATTGACATTACCTGCAATATATTTTAAATATCCTTCTCTGTGATTGCTTTGTCGCTTCTCAAAACTCAGTTCAAATGTCTCCTCCATTGCGAAGCCCTCTTCTTTGTATCCTCAGGGCAGCTATTCCTCTATTCTCTTATACCTCTTGGTTTATGCCTTTGTTATTTCACTTTTCATAATAACAGTTAGTTATATCTGTTTCTATCCCTTTTTTCAGTCTGTAAGCATCCAGTCTTTGACTTGTTCATCCCCCATGCCCAGGCTAATTTCTGACACACAGTAGATACTCAGGTTTGTAGTCTGAAGAATATTGTCCTAGGATACCTCAGAGCCTAGCCAAGGGCTTCTGAATTCCAGCCACCATCTCTCTCCTTCTGCTTCTATAATTCACAGCTGACCTCTGTCTCTTCATTGTCTTATGTGTGCCCTGGTGTGACGACCATAAGTTCAGAGTTGACACGCTGAGTGCATGATATAGTTTGGATCTGTGTCCCAACCCAAATCTCATGTCAAATTATAATCCTCAATGTTAAAAGTGGCCCCTGATGGGAGGTGATTTGATCATGGGGGTGGGTCCTTCATGATCAATAAACCTTCATGATTCATCATCCACTTGGTGCTATTCTCGTGACAGAGTTCTCATGGGATCTGGTTGTTTAAAAGTGTGTGACACCTCCCCCGTCTCTCTCATGCTGTTGCTCCTGCCATGTTAGAGGCCTTGCTCCCCCTTTGTCTTTCACCATGATTGGAAGCTTCCTGAGGCCTCCCCAGAAGCAGAAGTCACTGCTTCCTGTACAGCCTGTGGAACCGTAAGTCAATTAAACTTCTTTTCCCTAGAAATTATCCAGTCTCAGGTATTTATTTACAACAGTGCAAGAATTGACTAATACAGTGTATGAGGAAAATAGGGAGCAAAAAGTTAAATCCTGTGTGAGTGGTATTCAGCAACAACAACAACAACAACAACAACAACAACAATAACAATAGCAGCTACTGTTTGCTGAATACAGTCTGTGCTAGACACCAGGCTATGGGCTTTATAGGCAATATCTCAATGAATTCTAACATCAACCTATGAGGTAAATACTATTATCCTCATTTTATAGATGAGGCTGAGTAAGGGAAGTGGGAGAATTGAGGTTGGATGAAAGCCTGACTCTAAAGCCTATATTCTTAACTTTCCTATCTGAGGGGTTTTCGAGCAGCCAGTTGGAGGAAAGAAAGCCCCACCTGTGTTTACCTTCCCTAGGACCTATTCTGCCTCCTTGTCTAAAGAGAGGTGCCTGCTCCCAGGTGTGTTTAGCCCCGTGTGGGCTCAGCTGGGTCACCTTGTGCTTTGAAACAAGATAGCACTGAGGGGCTCCTGCAGCAACTGGCTCCCAGGGCAGACAGGGGCAGAGGCCCACTTCCCTGGCATTGGGGTGACAGATGTGGCCCTGGGGCAAGAGATGACAAAGATCTTCCATCATCACCTCAACAATTCCAACATAGTGACAGCCCCAGACTGCTAGAAAAGCCAACCCACATGGAGGCGAGATAAAATCCAGAGGGCCCAGAAATGTTTCAACAAATGCTAGTATCAGTCTCCCCAGTACAGCTCTGTCAGCAGGAAGGGAGAATTCTGCCAGCATGCATGGGGCACACTTTTTGGCACAAGGGACCTTGTTGCTAAGCAGCAGTAGTTGGCCTCCCCTCCTCCCCATGACCTTTTCCTCTGTTTCTGTGTTTCCAGTTAGCAGATGGGAGGGGCTGGGGTTGCCTAGCCCAGCCCAGCCCTTGTGCTCCTTTCCTGCAACAAGGGGCCTATTCATGGGTCCTGAGCAGGGTTCATTGTCTCTGTGGCGCGTGTCTGTGTGAGTGTTGGAGTAGGGATACAGGGAGGGGCCATGTATGAACCAGGGAGACCTCATCTTCCAACCAAGCTTGCTGGGCTAGCTTTAATCAATGCTGGCCTGAGAACAGGAGCAGAACGCTGCCTAGTAGACCCTGAGGCTTTACAACAGTGTCACTGACCCTTATGGTAAGGCTATGCCTCTATGCCACCCCTGCTGTGACCTCTCTCCCTTTCTTTCTCTCTCCCTCCTCTGCCCTTGGGATTCTAGGCTGGTGGAAAGAGCCTCCTGAGGCAGCTCTGGTACAGGGGCTGGATCCTAGCAGGGGCCCTGTTCGGCCAATTTCCTGTTTCCTCCCCAGGGACTGCCTTTTATTCTCCTCTTTTGTCCCTCTTAGACCTATCAAGTGCTTTGCACATACGTGGTGCTCAACAAATCATTATTATGTTGAACTTCCACTCAAAAAGAGGAGCAAGGAGTCCTATAATTTTAAAGGCCTTTTTTTTTTTTAGGCTAGCACATGAGCTTGGGCAGTTGAATTTTGAGGTGGAGCAGTACATGAGGTGAGGCCAGTTTATTCAAAGGCTGGGTTTAAAGCCAAGCTTCCTTGGTACTGAGGCAGGAGAAAAGACTGGCCATGCCCTAGAATTCTCTAGATCAGGCCTGCCTCTCCACTCAGAGGGACATCAGCTCAAGAGCAATCACACAACCCCAGAGAAGAAATCCAAACCTCATCCTCTGTTGCTGCTTCTCTACTCTCTTATGGGTGCTTGATTGGCTCTCCCAAGCCTGCTGTCCTCCAGCTTCGCTGCCTGTGTCCTATGAGTCTCATCTCTAGGCACAAGAAAGAATGTGTGTGGTATGCAAACCATGACCTCTGTTTCTCCTGGAAAAGCAAGGCCTGCAGCTCTTGGGAGGTCCAGTCCTATAGGTTCTGGGCTGTGGTTGGTGTGGGGAATAGGGAGGTGGGGCTGGTAGCTCATTCTATAGGCAAGGTGTTGGGGCTGCTGCCCTGGCTGTGAGCTGAACTGGCATGGGTGCTTTGGGTCCAGTGGAATGATTTTCGGGACAATTTGGAGGTGACTGACCTAGGTGAGTCTGACAAAGGCTTTCCTTCCTCCTGCCGGAGGGTTAGGAAGACTAGATCAGTGGAGTAGGAAGGCATGACTGGGGAGGTTTTGGTGTGAAAAGAACATTTCATGCGACACATGAAAATCACATTTAAGCCAATGCTGTCTTGGAGTCAGGCTTTTATTCTCATTGGGTACAACCCTATGTGTTGACAGGGAAAGACGCAGGGGAGACGGGAGTCTGCAGGGAAACGGGAGTTGCTTCAGTTTTGAGAGATTTTATCTACCCTACTGGATTATAAATTTTGGGGGGAAGGATCCACAGCTTATGTGTAGTTCTTATTAATATTATTATACTTAACATTTGTATTGGGCTTTACAATTTATAAAGCCATGTTAATTCACGTTTTGTTATTTGTACCTCCCTCTCTCCCTCCCTCCCTGTTTCCCATCTTTCCTTCCCTCCTTTAATGTGCTTTAACTGAATTCCCACTTCGTACCAGGCTCTGTGCTTAGCCCTGGGATGCAAAAACCAGTGAGGAAGGAGAGAGAAGGAAGTAAATGAGCACAATATAGGGCCCAACAGGTGCTGTATGCATTGAAGGAAGCTTCCTGGAGAAGTGACGTCTATGCTGAGTCTTGAAGGGTCAGTAGGAGTCAGTTACATGGGGAAGGGGAGAGCAGGTGCAAAGTTTCTCTGTTGTGAGAGTGACTGAAGGTACTGAGGTATGGCATGTATGTCAGTGTGACCCCAAATTTTGCTGTGGAGGGAGCAAGTGTTGGCAGTGAGGATGGAGAGGTGAGGCAGGGCGAGATCATGGAGGACCTTGTGAGCCATGCAATGGAGATCTGGTTTGATCCTGAAGGCTACAAAGACTCATAGGGTAGAGATGGGGCTCACATACTCATATTTGCATTTTAGAAAGATTACTCTGACTTTATGGCATGGAGAATAACTGAGGGAGATAAGATACTCGAGGAGGGAGATTATTCCTTGGAAAGTAGGAGTTATTACTCTTATTTTACAAATGAGACAATTGACATTTGAAGAGATGGCCTGAGTTGTCCACGTTCACATAGTAGGTTGTAGACCTAGCTTTGAACTGTCTGGTGTTTTTTTTTTTAAGATCTTATTTTCATTACTCCTCTTCATGGCTCATGAGCTTTAGGCACACATATGACTTACTCTGCTCTATGCTTTCTTATCCCCATGCCTTTGCTAATCCAATCCTCTTTGTCTGGGCTACCCAATGCCCATGTATATAAGCTCAAACCCTCTTCATCCCTGTGGGCCTCAGAGGCTGCTTTTTCTAGGAAGCCTTCTGTGATCACCTCAATGAGAAGTAAGCTCTTATTCTTTTGGATGATGATGGTAGTGTATTAGTCTGTTCTCACACTGCTATGAAGAACTGTCTGAGACTGGGTAATTTATAAAGAAAAGAGGTTTAATTGACTCATAGTTCTGCATGGCTGGGGAAGCCTCAGGAAACTTACAATCATGGTGGAAGGGGAAGCAAACACACTCTTCTTCACATGGTGGCAGGAGAAAGAAGGGCAGAGTAAAGGGGCAAAGCCCCTTATAAAACCATCAGATCTTGTGAGAACTCACTCACTATCATGAGAACAGCATAGGGGAACTGCCCCATGATCCAATCACCTACTATGAGGTCCCTCCCCCAGTGCGTGGTAATTACAATTCAAAATTACAATTCAAAATGAGATTTTGGGTGAGGGGAGAGCCAAATCATATCATTCTATCCTGGCCCCTCCCAAATCTCATGTCCTTATTTCAAACACAATCATGCCTTTCCAACAGTCCCCCAAAGTCTTAACTCATTCCAGCATTAACCCAAAAGTCCAAGTCCAAAGTCTCATCTGAGACAAGGCAAGTCTCTTCTGCCTATGAACCTGTAAAATCAAAAGCAAGTTAGTTACTTCCTAGATACAATGGGATGCAGGCATTGGGTAAATACACCTATTCCAAATGGGAGAAATAGGCCAAAACAAAGGGGTTACAGTCCCCATGTAAGTCTGAAATCCAATAGGGCAATCATTAAACCTTAAAGTTCCAAAATTATCTCCTTTGACTACATGTCATACATCCAGGTGACACTGATGTAAGAGGTGGGCTCCCATGACCTTGGGCAGCTCTGTCTTTGTGGCTTCGCAGGGCACAGCCCCACTCCTGGCTGCTTTCATGGGCTGGTGTTGAGTGCCTGCAGCTTTTCCAGGCTCACAGTGCAAGCAGTTGGTGGATCTACCATTCTGGGGTCTGGAGGACGATGGCCTTCTTTTCACAGCTCCACTAGGCAGTGCCGCAGTGGGGACTCTGTGTGGGAGCTCCAACCCTGCATTTCCCTTACATACTGCCCTAGCAGATGATCTCCATGAGGGCTCCACCCCTGCAGCAAACTTCTGCATGGGCATCCAGGTGTTTCCATACATCCTCTGAAATCTAGGTGGAGGTTTTCAAACCTCAGTTCTTAACTTCTGTGCACCCACAGGTTCAACACCACATGGAAGCTGCCAAGGCTTGGGCTTGCACCCTCTGAAGCAATGACCTGAGCTGTACCTAGGCCCCTTTTAGCCACAGCTGGAGCTGATGCAGCTGGGACACAGGGTACCATGTCCCAGGCTGCACAGAACAGGGGGGTCCTGGCCTGGGCCACAAAACCATTTTTTCTCTCCTGGGCCTCTGGGCCTGTGATGGAAAGGACTGCAAGTCTCTGACATGCCCTAGAGAGATTTTTCTCATTGTCTTGGTGATTAACATTTAGCTCCTCATTACTTATGCAAATTTCTGAAGCAGGCTTGAATTTCTTCTCAGAAAATGGGTTTTCCTTTTCTATCACATCATCAAGCTACACATTTTCCAAACTTTTATGCTCTGTTTCCTCTTGAACACTTTGCTGCTTAGAAATTTCTTCTGCCAGATACCCTAAATCATCTCCCTCAAGTCCAAAGATCCACAGATCTCAAGACAATGTGGTGATTCCTCAAGGATCTAGAACCAGAAATACCATTTGATCCAGCAGTCCCATTACTGGGTGTATACTGAAAGGATTATGAATCATCCTACTATAAAGACACGTGCACACGTATGTTTACTGCAGCACTATTTACAATAGCAAAAACTTGGAACCAACTCAAATGCCCATCAATGATAGACTGGATAAAGAAAATGTGGCACATATATACCATGGAATACTATGCAGTCTTAAAAAAAGAATGAGATCATGTCCCTTGCAGAGATATGGATGAAGCTGGAAGCCATCATTCTCAGCAAACTAACACAGAAACAGAAAACCAAACACCACATGTTCTCACTCATAAGTGGGAGTTGAAGAATGAGAACACATGGACATGGGGAGGGGAACAACACACCCCGGTGCCTGTCTGGGAGTAGGGGACAAGGGGAGGGAGAGCATTAGGACAAATACCTAATGCATGTGGGGCTTAAAACCTGGATGACAGGTTGAAAGGTACAGCAAACCACCATGGCACATGTATACCTATGTAACAAACCTGTACGTTCTGCGCATGTATCCTGGAAGTTAAAGTAAAATAAAAGGGTAGACTATATGTCACATGGTTTCATTTATATGAAACTATAAAAAAGGGAACTCTAATATACAGTGAGAGAAACAGATCAGTGATTTTCCAGGGCTGTGGGTTGGGGAGGAGTTAACTGCAAAAAGGCAGAAGGAAAATTTCTGGGGTGACCTTAATGTCCTATATTTTGACTGTGTTGGTCATGTGGGTTATATCTTTGTCAAAGTTATTTATCTGAGAACTTAAAATGTATGCAATATTTTGAATGTGCATTATGCCTCAATAAAGTTGAACAAAACACCCCCTGCTCCCCACCCCCCAAAAGAGAAAAACAAACAAAAAACCACCAAAGTTCCACAGATCTCTAGGGCAGGGGCAAAATGCCTTCAGTTTTTTGCTAAAGCATAGCAAGAGTCACCTTTCCTCTAGTTTCCAAGAAGTTCCTCATCTCCATCTGAGACCACCTCAGCCTGGACTTCATTGTCCACATCACTATCAGTGTTTTAGTCGAAACCATTTAACAAGTCTCTAGGAAGTTCTAAACTTTTCCACATCTTCCTGTCTTCTTCTGAGCCCTCCAAACTATTCCAACCTCTACCTGTTACCCAGTTCCAAAGTTACTTCCACATATTTAGGTATCTTTACAGCAGCACCAATTTACTGTATTAGTTTGTTCTCACACTGCTATAAAGGACTACTAGAGACTGAGTAATTTATAAAGCAAGAGGTTTAATTGACTCACAGTTCCTCATGGCTGGGAGGCCTCAGGAAACTTATAATCCTGGCAGAAGGGGAAGCAAACATGTCCTTCTTCACATGGTTACAGGAGAGAGAAGTGCAGAGTGGAGAGGGGAAAAGCCCCATGTAAAACCATCAGATCTTGTGAGAACTCACTCACTATCATGAGAACAACATTTGGGAACTGCCCCCGTGATTTAACCACCTCCCACGAGATCCCTACCCCACCACATGGGGATTCCAATTTGGATTGCAATTCAAGATGAGATTTTGGGTGGGGACACAGCTAAACCGTATCAGGTAGTTTAGCTGAACTTTTCTTCTGTCATTTAACATATTGTGCTTTACATGACTTATCCTCAGGACCAGACTACAGGTTCTTTGATGCAGTCAGAGTTGGGAGTGGTCTGCGCTGGTTTATTCTGAACTCCCGATAGTGTCCCTTATAGTGACCTGTGCACTTGGACCAAATATGTATGGAATGAATGAATGGGTGGGTGGGTGATTTGTGGAGGGGCACTTCTTCTTCCGAGATAGGAGGGAATGAAGAAGGGTGGGATCTTGAAGCTGAAGGAAGGTGTTGAGGGACTTTAGCAGATGCCTTCAATGCTTATGGAAGATGAAGGAGTGGCTAAGAGTGTGGGCTTTGGAGTGGGACAAATCTGCATTCAAGTGTTTGCTACTGGCCATGTGAGAGTAAGAACAGTGGGGTTAGGGGCCCCAGGAGGGCACGGGGGGCCTGGCAAGGTATTTGTGGGAATATACAGGGAGTCCCCAAGATGAATAGAGGTTTACAAGTGACAATGGAAGCACGACTGGGGTTAAAGAATGGGGAATTGGACTTGGCTGTGACTTCTCTCAGCAATCCTTGATGTGGGAATCCTGGGTGTCTGACACTTACTTCCCCAGAGCCTGATGCTGGATGACCAAGCCCCTGCGGAGGCCCAGTATGCAGAGGAGGGCCCAGGATCTGGGATCTTCAGAGCAGAGCCTGGAGACCAGCAGCATCCCAGTAGGCCAGACTGGGTCATAAGGGAATGACAGGGTGGGGACAGTGGAGGGCAATCATCCTACATTTCCTGGATCCTCCTTGGGGTCAGCCCCACATGATTGATGGTGAGAGGCTGTCTCACTCTTTATCCCCAGACCTGCTTTTGCTTCCCATTTCCCACTTTAGGGATTGAGTGGGATTTGTGGGCTTCAGTGATCAGGCCCTCTCCATCCTCCCCTGCCCCCAACCCCTCCCTAATCTGGGCTGATGGGACAGGAGGAGGTGTCCTGTTGGAGTTCTGTGGGTACCTAGCCCCATGGTGGTGACTTAGGGTGAAGTAAGGCTGGCTGGCAGGAGCAGAGGACCCAGATACCCCTCTGTCCTTTCCCACAGTTTCTCAGGTGGTGTGCTGGCGTTCCATGCGACGAGGCTGTGCAGTGCTGGGAGCCCTGGGGCTGCTGGCCGGTGTGGGTGTCGGCTCCTGGCTCCTAGGTCAGTGCTGGGGTCCCTTCTCTGGTGTGGGGGAGGTTGGAAGGGAGAAGCAGGTGCTGAGCAGGCATTAAAGGTAAATAGGACAAGTGTCTTCCTCATCTACTCTGCGCAGACAAGGGGAGAAAGGGTGAAATCGCAGCAGGAGGGATCTAGGCTCTACATAAAGAAGAACAAAGTGTATGATCCAAGGAGGCCTTAGTCAGACTTTTTCTGGAAATCTTTCCCAGTGAGAGAGATACAGAGAGAACACACACAGAGAAAGACAGAGACATACTGAGAGACAGAGAGAATGAGAGAGAGAGAGAGAGAGAGAGAGAGAAGGGAGAGTCAAAGAGACAGAGATAGAGGCTGAGGCCAAGAGAGATGGAGCGCTGTGCCCCTCCTCAGTGGGTTGGTTGGGAATCTGCCTGAGAGCAAGGTGGCTGATGAGGAGGTCAGCACCTTGACCCCCTCCTTTGGAAATCAGACCCTTTCTCTTTGTTCTTATCTGAAGTGCTGTACCTGTGTCCTGCGGCCTCTCAGCCCATTTCTGGAACCTTGCAGGATGAGGAGATAACTTTGAGCTGCTCCGAGGCTGGTGGTGAGGAAGCTCTGCTCCCTGCACTTCCCAAAACAGGTGGGCTGCACCCCTGGGGCTACGGGCCTCCCTCCCCAGCAGGGACCTGTCACAGCTGGGGGCAAGAGAACCGACTCTGAAGGGCCATCTGTTCACTGCCAACCATATGTATTTCCCTCCTCTAGTGTGAGGGCAGTGACAGGGTGTCACCTTGCAGAGGTGATCTCTGATTTGGGGCTTTCAGCGCTCTCTGAGGACTGTCCTGATCTCTAGCTGGGGCAAGGTCCAGAGACCAGGCTGACAGGAGGGATAGAAACTTGCCATTTGGGGCAGAGTGAGTCAGGGATGTGGGGGAGGAGGGGTCAGGTGTGTGTGGGAGCCAGTGTGTGACCAGCAGGGCCACCTATGGGTCTGGGAACATTAGCCCACCTTGTCCCCTGTCTCCCTCTCCTGATTGTCCCCTCTCCTCCACGTAAGAGTTGGGGATCAGAAGGTACAATGCTACCCAGAGGCTACGGGTTAGAATAACCTCATTAGAATAAGGTTGGAGTCTTTGACTGTGTGGCTTTGGGCACATTACTTCTTGTAGCTTCTGCTTCCTTCTCCATAAAATGGAAATACAAATATTTACTGCATAAATTTTTTAAGGACAAAAACTAATCTAGGAAAAGATATTAGCACAGAACTTGTGTAGTAGTCTGTTTGGTTTGCCATGAGTAAGTACCACAGACTGGGTGGCTTAAACCACATTTATTTTCTCACAGTTCTGGAGGCTAGAAGTCCAAAATCAAGGTGCTATGAAATTCAGTGTCAGGAGAGAGCTCTTTTCCTGGATTGTAGATGGCCGTCTTCTGCCTGTGTCCTCCCCAGGCCTTTCCTCTGCTCTTGAGGAGAGAGGGAGCTCTCTGGTGTCTCTTCCTCCTATAAGAACATTGACTCTATTGGATCAGGGCCTCACCCTCGTGACCTCATATAACCTTAATCACCTTCTTAAAGGCCCTGTCTCCAAATCCAGTCACATTGGGGGTTGGGGCTTTGTGTGTGTGTGTGAGAGGTGGGGTGGGGACACAAGTCAGTCCATAAGAGCCTGGAAAAAGCATACACTCAACAACTGGTAACTATTATTATCACAAGATTTGATATCAGAAGACCTGGACTTAAGTCCTGGATCCATCACTTCCTGACCCTGTGATCTTGGGGAAGGTGCTCAAACTCCAAGCCTTAGTTCTCCTTCTGCAGAATGGAGAGGATGGCAGTACTCATTGCACAGGACTGCTGTGACAGTGAGTGGCAGAGCACGCTTAAAAGCACTTGGTTAAAATAGAAAACAGAAATGCTCTACCAGTAGGGGTGAGATTGCTCTTGGGACTGGTCTCACTCCCCGGGCAGCAGGGAACTTGGCACTGGGTGACCCAGATACTGTCATTAAAGCCTCTTCAAGTACTACAGAGTCCTAGGTCCAGCTCTTCCTGTCCCACCCTACCACCATCCTTCCCCATGTGGTTTTCATGCTGTGATTTCAGTATCTTTCAGAATAAACAGCGAAGACTTCTTGCTGGAAGTGCAAGTGAGGGATCGGCCACGCTGGCTCCTGGTCTGCCATGAGGGCTGGAGCCCCGCCCTGGGGCTACAGGTCTGCTGGAGCCTTGGGTATCTCAGGTAACAGGAGTCAGATGTGGGTCCTGTAAAGGGGGAGGCCTGGCTGGCTGGCGAAGGATGGGAGTTGGAGACCTCTATCTGCCCGTCACTGGTCAATGTTCTCAGGAAATGTCAAGAGGTCTTTTTGGCCATCTTTTGGCCTCTGGGCACAATGGTACCCCAGCCCATTTCTCTGTTTGGAGTATTACTGCTTTTTAACAAGCATAAATCCCAGCAGTAGTCATTATCACAGTCTTGTGGTTACTATACTAGTATTATATCTTGTACACATTCCAGTTATGATTTCCTCCTGTTCTATTCTCCTCCTATGCCAAGACTCACTCACCACAAGGGAGTAAACCTCACTGACATCAAACTCAACAGCTCCCAGGAGTTTGCTCAGCTCTCTCCTAGACTGGAAGGCTTCCTGGAGGAGGTGTGGCAGCCCAGGTAGGACTACTGAGGCGGTTAGGTGAGTGGGTTCCCTTACTTCCTGGTGGTCAGTCCAGCAAAAATCTCCTTTCTTGGGATGCTGGTGGTGAGGACACTGGTGGCCTAAGATAGGAGGACAAAGAGAAACATTTCCTAATCAGAAATTAACAAACTCAGTTCACATGAGCCCTGTCTGTCACCACTTCACATCTGCTATTTGCCCTTCACAGGAAATGTAGGGTTGGTTATCACTGTAACAAGATTTGAAATGGTACTCGTTGCCATTTTACAGGTTAGGACACTGAGGCTTAATAAGGTTAAAGGGTCTTGTCCAAGGTCACATAAGTAAGCAGCAGCCAAGTCAAGCCTTGAAACCAGGCTCCTGTCTCCAAGCTCAGTGCTCTCTGAATCCTGTCACACATTATTTGGATAATTTGGATATTTCAGGAGAGAGATGGTTGAGTTGCTCTGGCTAAGAGTTGCTTGTAGTCTGGAGAGTCTCCCAGAGAAGAGGGCTGTGGAATGGAGCAGCCCCTGCCCCAGATCCTGGGGATGGTCTGGTGTGACTGGGGCACAAGCAGAGAGGGTCTTTGCACCTTCCTAGGCTTTCTCAAGCTGCCTATCAGCCTCCTGGGATAGATGGGTGGGCACCCCCATTACCACGTTTCCAATTTGAACTGTTCCTTCAGGCCCCTCCTGTCCAGCTCCTATGCTCAGGAATGTGGCTGGAGATGGGAAGGTTCTGACTGGGTTCTTGTCTTGGATACCTGAATGGGAAAATGGAAGTAGGGGTGGGGCTGACTCCTCCAGGAGAGCCAGGAGGGCTGTGTATTTGGGAAACTAGGAGACACTAAGAGGGTCTAGACATTGGGCTGCTAGGGGCAAGAGGTGAATAAATAAAGAGAAGAGAGTTTGGGTCAAAAAAGCAACTAAGAGCTAAGAGAGAAAAGGGGAAAGAGGAGAGCAAGAATATGAATATACAAGGCCCAGGCAGAGGGACTAGGGTGGAGAATACAGCACACCTAGGAAGGAGCATGGGGTGAAGAACCCTGGTCACGCACGCACTCACCTATCCGTTCATTCATTCATTGAGTGTGTCTTTATTCAGGACACTTAGTGGTAACAGTTGATCTATGTCCCAGTTGATCTGCAAGGACCATGAAGTCCTTCTGTTGCCCTCTGGGAGATTAGGCAGGAGGTGTGCTGCTGTCCTGGGGACCAGTGATGAGGAGGGGTCTGAGCGTTTGGGTGGGGGCAGGAAGGAAATGGTGATATTCTTCAGGCTGTGGCTACATGACAGCCTTAAGAACTGTCCACCACCTCCACCAACCTCCCCCATTCTTCACATCCTTGGATGTGTGTGGCCACAGGGTGGGCCCTGCCCAGCTTCTTGCTGGCACTCTGTTTTGCAGGAACAACTGCACTTCTGGTCAAGTTGTTTCCCTCAGATGCTCTGGTGAGTCATGTCTTGGTCCCGGAGAGGCGGCAGTGGGAGGAAAGGGTGCTCCCCCTCCTTCAAGTGTGGAAGAGCCCTATGGTGAGGCTCTGCTGGGTCTGGGGTGGGGTCCTTGCCCACCTGCCTGCCAGGCCCCTTGTTGCAGTTGCTGTTCTGCCCCAGCAGAGCCCTTTCTAAGCCTCCATCATGTCCCTCACCAGCCACAGATCTGGGCTGATGATCTCCTTCCTTCACTACCTGCCACTCTCTTCCTTGACCTCTGACACCCACTCCGCCTTTTTTCTGGAGAGCCCCAGAGGTGAAATTATTATTGGCTATTGAGTGACTCGTTAGCACCTTCAGGAAACTAAGGGCAGGTGGTGAATTAGGTACCAAACGGGAAGCAATCTGTGGAGTTCCTTTCATTGGTCTTCCCGTTCATCTATGCGTGTCTTCATCTGTCCATTCAGACATCCTTCCACACACCAACACTTCGACCTCTGCTACAGGACGGGCATTCTGTTAGGCACTAGGGCTTCATACCTAACATAGGGCTCCATGCAGACACAGTTTCTGCTCTCAGCAGGCCCACAGCTGGATGGGGCAGGCAGGGGTGAAATCAACACTTCTACCTTCCCATCCCCCACACTTAGGACCAGGAATAAGAAAGGAGAGCTGTCCACACTGGCTGTCTGGGGCTTGGCGCTGGGTCACGTTCTCTGAGAGTTAGGACCATACTGACACTCACCTCTCTCTCTCTCTCTGTCTCACTCATCTCTGTTGGCAGAGTGTGGAGCGAGGCCCCTGGCTTCCCGGATAGTCGGCGGGCAGGCTGTGGCTCCTGGGCGGTGGCCGTGGCAGGCCAGTGTGGCCCTGGGCTTCCGGCACACATGTGGGGGCTCTGTGCTGGCGCCACACTGGGTGGTGACTGCTGCACACTGTATGCACAGGCAAGTCTCCGTGGCTGCTGAGGACAGAGCGCCTCGGTTGCCCTTTCTGTTCGGCTGTTGGTGTGTCCTGTATCAAATGTTCATGTCCAACCGTCTCCAGCTTTTTACTCCAAGAGGGTAAGGTGTTTGTGAAGTTCTCCCCATTCAGTATCAAGAACAGATCTGCACAAATAACAGTAAGGATATGAAGATTTGTTCTGTATATTCATCAGCTTTTTTTTTTTTTTTTTTTTGAGAGAGAGTCTCACTTTGTTGCCCAGGCTGTAGTGTAGTGGCACAATCTTGGCTCACTGCAACCTTCGCCTCCTGGGTTCAGGCAATTCTTGTTGCCTCAGCCAGGAGCCACCATGCTCAGCTAATTTTTTTGTATTTTTAGTAGAGATGGGGTTTTGCCATGTTGGACAGGCAGGTCTTGAACTCCTGACCTCAGGTGATCTGCCTGCCTCGGCCTCCCAAAGTGCTGGGATAACAGGCGTGAGCCCCCGCGCCTGGCCTCATCAGCTTTTAAGTGTTAAAAATACTTTCACATTCACAGCACCCTGTGTTTCTTCAGGTTTATCTTTGGTTCAATCATTTTCCATGTAATCATTTGGTTAATATCTTTCTTCCGCTTTAGACTGGAAGCTCTGCAGGAGCAGGGACTCTCGGTCTTATTTACCACTAAATCTCTTTGTAGATTTATCCACTGCTGTGTCTCCAGGGTCTAGAACAGTCCCTGGAATATAGTAGGTGCTTAATAAATGTGACTTGGAGGAATGAATGAATGATGAATGAATAGCTCTTTGATCTTCTCTTGGTGCCGAACAGGGCAGAGAGTGTAATCCCCATTTTACCAAGGCTGGGAGGGAGAAGTGCCTCTCTCATGATCACACATAGTAAGTCGAGAGACAGGACCAGCGGAAGCTTTTCTGACACAAGGCCCTCTATGTATTTGCTATAAAACTTGGAGGGAAGTTATGCAGGAAAAAGGGAGTGATGGTTGCAGATGACCCATAGTCTTCTCCATCCATCAGTCCTGGAGCATTTATTAAGCACCTTCTGCATGCCCAGTGTCTTGCCAGCTGCTGGGGTGATACTAAGAGGCATGGTCCATGGGGCTTGCGAGCTCACCACCCGCTAATGGCCGCCCCACCAATGGCCGCTCTGGCCAGCTTCCTCCACCTGCTACTTCACTTAGGAACACCTCTTCTGCTCCTTCCTTCCCCGCTCAGCGTGGTCCCCTGTGTGCAGTTTCAGGCTGTCCCGCCTGTCCAGCTGGCGGGTGCATGCGGGGCTGGTCAGCCACAGTGCCGTCAGGCCCCACCAGGGGGCTGTGGTGGAGAGGATTATCCCACACCCCCTCTACAGCGCCCAGAATCATGACTACGACGTCGCCCTCCTGCGGCTCCGGACCCCTCTCAACTTCTCAGGTGCGGTGCTGGCTTGAGGGTGGGCAGGCTGGAGACTATGTCGAGAGAGGGTGGGGGCTGGGCGGGAGAGTGGTGAGCTGATTTCTGAAGTTTCCTCTAAACACCGTAAACCTTAAAACATTTTATTTATTTGGGGACTGTAGTGAATTTTGGCATCACCTGGATGTGAAACTGTTATCAACTCTTGCACAGGCTTTTTTGGGAAAAAAGGTTCAGGCCCTTTTCATGGCTGGGCTGCAGGTGAGCTTTGCCTTGAGGTCCCAAGCAGCTGCTCTGTTCACCAATAGGCTGCTCCGCTCCTGTCCCCAGGCCAGTCTTGGGTCCTAGCCATTTAGTGCCATGTTACAGTTTATGAGATTTTTTTTTTCTCAAATATCTTCTCTTTCAGTCCTCGTAACGACCCTGATAGGTAGATGAAACAGGTAGATACAGACAAGGGCACTGCGGTGTAGGGAGGGAAGCGACTCTCTTCAAGGTCATGTGGCAAACAGTTCCTAAGCCTGATGCCAGGGCTACTCCTGCTGTTGCACCTGCCCTAGAAGGTGAGCCCAGGCTGCAGCCATACCAGCAACTAGTTTCCCCCAACACACACGTACACGTGGACATTCACCTACAAACACACACACACACATGCACTCACACAGTCACGTGCACATAGACTCACACGCATTCACACATGCTCACACATATGTGCTCACATGAACACACCTGCACACACACACCACACACACTCACAAACATGCACACTGTGCACACACATATACATTCACATATACTCAACACTCCTTCCTGTCATCACCTGTAGCCTTCAGTTTCCCAAATAACAGTCATTGCCATACACATTTCACAAATTTTATCACATATGTGAACTATCATTCAACAGGTAATATTTCTAAGGCTGGGCGTGGTGGCTCATGCCTGTAATCCCAGTACTTTGGGAGGCCAAGGTGGGCAGATCATTTGAGGTCAGGAGTTCAAGGCCAGCCTGGCCAACACAGTGAAACCCCATCTCTACTGAAAATACAAAAATGAACTGGGCATGGTGGTGCACGCCTGTAGTCCCAGCTACTCAGGAGGCTGAGGGAGGAGGATCACTTGAACCTGGGAGGCAGAGGTTGCAGTGAGCTGAGATCGTGCCACTGCACTCCAGCCTGGGTGACAAAGCAAGACTCTCTCTCTCAAAAAAAAAAAAATTCTTAGTATATTTAAAAGAGAAATACTACTATATTAGTATCTAAGTAGTAGATACTACATAGATATCTAATGTAGTAGTATATTAGTATCTACTATATTAGTATATATTAGTACTATATTAGTATCTAAGTAGTAGATACTACATAGATATCTAATGTAGTAGTATATTAGTATCTACTATATTAGTATATATTAGTACTATATTAGTATCTAAGTAGTAGATACTACATAGATATCTAATGTAGTAGTATTTCTCTTTTAAATATACTTATTTTGTTATAGAAAATAGTACATTTACTATATAGTCTAGTAAGTAAATAGCATATTTATTATTTAAATATACAAAATTGATATAGTAAATAGATAATAATTAGTATCTCTAGTTAGAAGACCTATATTACTTACCTAACTAGAGAACCTGTGTTACTTACAGTAAATAGATACTAACCACAAAAATATGTAGCATGAAAAGAAATCAGTGTGGAAGTTCTAGGTAGCCGAGTCTGCTGCAGAAGTTGCTGCACCCGGGCGTGCTGTCTCCTGTTTGGATGGGAGGTTGGCAGGCTGTAAGAAAGGCACAGACCAGCCCCAAATGAAGTCTTTCTCTGTGATGCAGTTAGAGTGACTGAAAGAGAATTGAAGGACATGGCATGCTCCCCAAGCAGATGTTTACTCAATGGCATGCCTATGTACTACCTAAAATCATGTATGGCTGCACCCATCGGATATGTCACACGTTTTTGGAAACACTGTCCTCATTAGAAGTTGGGTACCCATGGCCTGAAAGAATTTTCACCCCCACTCCGTCCCCAGGTGTGGAGAGGGGGCAGCATGGGCCCTGTCCACCCATAGAGGACGCCATGCACACTACAGTTTGCATGCTGTCCTCTGTGACAGGGGACCCCTAAGATGGGACAATACACCACTTGCATAGCCATCTAGGAGGCCTGGCTGGTGGAACCCAGGAACCAGGACTGTTTCAGAACGGGGGTGAGGTGGACTTGCCAGTCCTGGGTCCTTCGCCCAGGCTCCGCAAGAGGGGAAGCCGAGCCTGACTGGGGACCAGGATCACGTGCCTCTTTGCAGACACTGTGGGTGCTGTGTGCCTGCCGGCCAAGGAGCAGCATTTTCCGAAGGGCTCCCAGTGCTGGGTGTCTGGCTGGGGCCACACCGACTCCAGCCATAGTGAGTCAGCTCCCTGGGCCCTCGGTGCAGGAGCGGGTGTGGGAGGCATTCTTCCCAGGGTGAGGCATGGCCACATCCCTTGGCCACATGACAGTGCCAGCCCTGTTTTTCCCTGGCATCACCCTTGGCCATGACTGGGGGCTCCAGTCTCCCCTGCCTGGGCCTTTCTGGGGAGAACATCTACTGAAAGTTTTCCCCAAACTCAGACCCTTTTATGCCACCTCCCCTTGTCCCAGGAGCACCGTGGTCTCACATTTGGTGTATATGTGAGTCCTCCTCCTTTTCCCACTCCCAGCCCCCAAGTCTGATAGCCTCCTGCTTCCTTGCTCAGGGTCCACAGCTCCCACCCTGGGCTCACCTCTGTGGGTCTCCATGTCTCTGGGACTTCTAATTACCTCCCCTCTTGCTGTTCTGCCTGCCTGGGTCTTGCTTTATGCCCGGCAGTTTTTCTCGGTGTCTCTCATAGCTTACAGCTCGGACATGCTCCAGGACACGGTGGTGCCCCTGCTCAGCACTCAGCTCTGCAACAGCTCCTGCGTGTACAGTGGAGCCTTCACCCCCCGCATGCTTTGTGCTGGCTACCTGGACGGAAGAGCTGATGCATGCCAGGTGTGGCCTGTGGTCGATGGGGTGAGGGTGGGGGTGGAGGTGGGGGTGGGAGGACAGGGGGCCTGCTGTGACTTGGACCCCTGCCCTGGTCTGAGCTTGTCGGTGGTGTGAGACCACCTCTCTAGAAGGAGGGGCATCTAGGCAAGTCTGGAGCTCATGCTAAGGGTTTAAGGAGGGGTGAGGCCAGTAGGTGTCTGAGCTAGAAGCAGGAGGGGCCCAGTAAGGAGATTCCACTTGCCATAGTGGTCTGGTGCTCTCCAGCAGGAAGAACTAACTGGTTGTTTCTCTGTGTCTCCATGCCTGGATCCCATAGGGAGATAGCGGGGGCCCCCTGGTGTGCCCAGATGGGGACACTTGGCGCCTGGTGGGGGTGGTCAGCTGGGGGCTTGGCTGCGCAGAGCCCAATCACCCAGGTGTCTACGCCAAGGTAGCTGAGTTTCTGGACTGGATCCATGACACTGTTCAGGTGAGTGTGGGGGCAGAAGTAGGACAGGGAGGTTTCTAAAGGACCTGCCCCTCCAATGCAAGGAACCTTACCCCTTAGGCCCAGGTCCTGCTGGGGGCTGGGGAGGGGACTAGGACATGTTCTCCAGAGTGGGTGGAGGAAGAAGTGAAGCTTAAGCATTGAATCCACTGGATTTCTATCAATTTAAGGATAAACTGGGTAAGAGTAGCCCTGAGTTTGTATCCTAGATCTACCTTTTCCTGTGTCGACCTTCGGCAAGTTTTGAACTTTGGTAAACCTTAGTTTCCTGATGATAACCATCATGGCCGCTTATATGCTATTGTTATATGCTGTTAAATAAGACCTGTACAATGCCTAGCACAGTGCTAGGCTTAGAGTGAGTGATCTGTAGTACTTTTTGTTTTTTTGAGATGGAGTTTTGTTCTTGCTGCCCAGGCAGAAGTACAATGGCACAGTCTCAGCTCACTGTAACCTCCACCTCCTGGATTCAAGTGATTCTCCTGCCTCAGCCTCCCAAGTAGTTGGGATTACAGGCATTCACCACCACGCCAGGCTAATTTTTTGCATTTACTAGAGACAAAGTTTCATCATATTGATCAGGCTGGTCTTGAACTCCTGAGTTCAGGTGATCCACCTGCCTTGGCCTCCCAAAGTGCTGGGATTATAGGTGTGCACCACCATGCCAGGCCTGTCGTGCCATTTATGTGTATATCTGTTACTGTCACTCATCCCTGGTCTCTAAGGCAGTTACTAGTGGCCACATTCCCTGCACTGTGGAGAGAGCTCAGCATTTAGCAGTTTGGGTTCTGCATCGACGTAAATTGTGTGACTCTGGGCAAGCCACTCTCCTTCATCTGTTCAATGGGAAGGCCAAGTGAGACAATGGGTGTAAAAACACATTAGTGGCTGGGCAGGGTGGCTCATGCCTGTAATCCTAGCACTTCGGGCGGCTGAGGTGGGTGGATCATGAGGTCAGGAGTTTGAGATCGGCCTGGACAACATGGTGAAACCCCATCTCTACTGAAAATACAAAAATTAGCTGGACATGGTAGCATGCACCCAACTACTCGGAAGGTTGAGGCAGAAGAATCACTTGAACCTGGAGGCGGAGGTTGCAGTGAGCTGAGATCTTGCCACTGCACTCCAGCCTGGGTGATAGAGCAAGACTCTGTCTCAAAAACAAAACAAAACAAAATATTATTTACATAAAGTATTTTACAAATTTAGGGCATGATCATGAAAAGCATCTTCCTCTAAGGTTGGGCAGGGGTGGGGGTTGGTAGATAATACAGGGAATGTATGTATCGATCTTCTCATAGAAATCTTACAAAAAATCTCGAGCAGCAGATAATTTTAGCCCCATTTGATAGAAGTGAAAATCAAGGCCCTGCATGGTTAAGTGATTTACTAAAATAAACATCGTTTGGCTAGTGTAGAGCCATGCTGTGAATCCAGTTCCTTTCCCTTTTGGTCTAGGACTCCCTCCTCTGAGTCCGGCTGTTTCCTCCAGTCTCACTGCACACCGCCGCCTCATGCTTCCTGGGGCCTCTAGCAGCTCCACTAACAGAGGAGAGGCAGCAGCCTCCAATGCCGAACGCATGGACCTCCTACTACTGTGCGTGAGAACAGTCACCACCCACCGGCCAGCCACCCAGCCGCCAGGTCTCTCCTCTTGGGCCCTGATTTCAGAGTCCTCTTTCTCACTAGAGACTCAATGACAGAAGAGAAGCTGGGGCTGGGTTGGGAGTAGTGTGGTTGCTGAGGGATGAGGGGAAAGAGGAGAGAGGTAGGAGCTGGAGACGAAGAGGCTGCTGGAAGCAGCAGGAAGCCTACCCTTTTTCTGCCCTCTGCCCTCCCTGCCCTTGTGTGAGTCTTTTGGGAGGGTGCTGGGAGGTGCCCCCAGTCCTGCCTTTTCCCTGTGCTCTCAGGTGGGCTAAGTGCCTCCCTAGAGGACTCCATGGCTGAGAGGCTCCTGGGCAGATGGGGTCAAGGCTGGGCCAGCCCAGATGAAGCCTACAGGAGTCAGGACCCTCTCCACTCTCCCTCTCCACTCCCCTTCCTGTTCTCACCTGGCTCTGGCTGGCCCTGTACGGGATAGGTGCATTGGAAAACAAGAAGGTTGGAGTTGGTCTAGGACATTGGTTTTAAATGACAGTTCTGTGAACTGGTCCAAGGAGTTCTGTTATTAAAGTGGTATATGGTCTTGGTCCAGTTTTCTCTGTCTGCCTCTCTCTCACTTGCACAAAGACAGACAGACAGACACAAACACACACCCGCCCACCCACACAAGCACATATTGCAGGGTAGAATTACAATTTTCCTGCTATCTTCTATACATGTTGAAGCTTTGGTGCTGACTCCTGCTCATCTACTCTAGAATTTTGGTTTGTGCTTGTTTTGCCCAGGCTGGAGTGCGGTGGCACCATCTCAGCTCACTGCAGCCTTGATGCTGTGGGCTCAGTGGATCCTCCCACCTCAACCTCCCTGGTAGCTGGGACTACAGGTGCACGCCACCACACACGGCTAATTCTTCTTTTGTATTTTTTATAGAAATGGGGTTGGCCAGTTGCGGTGGCTCATGCCTGTAATCCCAGCACTTTGGGAGGCTGAGGCGGGTGGATCACGAGATCAGGAGATCGAGACCATCCTGGCTAACATGGTGAAACCCTGTCTCTACTAAAAATACAAAAAAATTAGCCGGGTGTGGTGGCAGGTGCCTGTAGTCCCAGCTACTTGAGAGGCTGAGGCAGGAGAATGGCGTGAACCCGGGAGGCAGAGCTGGCAGTGAGCCGAGATCACGCCACTGCACTCCAGCCTGGGTGACAGAGTAAGACTCCATCTCAAAAAAAAAAAAAAAAATCTACATGTCATGATCTGCAATGAAAAGCCTTAGCCATCCAAGTGCTCTGAGGTTTTGAGTTTGAGAACTGCCTAAGTCAATGCTCTCTTGGGAAGGTTTGGTTTCCCTGCAAGGTCCATCTCTCCTTCTCTCTTTTTTTTTTTTTTTTTTGAGACAGAGTCTTGCTCTGTCACTCAGGCTGGAGTGCAGTGGCACCATCTTGGCTCACTGCAATCTCTGCCTCCTGGGTTCAGGCAATTCTCCTGCCTCAGCCTTCTGAGTAGCTGGGATTACAGGCACACTACAGCCACCATGCCTGGTTAATTTTTTTTGTATTTTTAGTAGAGACGGGGGTTTCACCATGTTGGCCAGGCTGGTCTCGAACTCCTGACCTCAGGTGATCCACCTGCCTTGCCCTCCCAAAGTGCTGGTATTACAGGTGTAAGCCACCGCACCTGGCCCCATCTCTCCTTCTTAGCTCTTGTTTTGGAACTGGGCCTTTTGACTTGGCCTCTCTGTCAGAGTTTATGCCCAGTTAGCATTTCCTTGGTTAAGCCTCTCCCCTACTCTCTCCTTTCTAGCACTTAAAATGTAATTGGCATCTTGTTTCTGAAAACTTCAATGAATTTTTTTATGGTGCTTACCCAAAGAAATGCAATCAGTGTTTAGCAATAACAGAACTTTGTGAGTTTATCAGCATATTTTGTGAGGAGTTGTACAAATGATTACTCATTCCTAGAGGGTCTGCTCCCTTTACATGAAGTGAACTAAAAAATGAAGGTTTCAATTTACTGCCAGTTTATTAACCAGGGAAATAGTTGCTGGGAGTCTGCTGTCAAACTGTAGAAGCAACGTGGGAGAAGTTCTGCTGAATGGCAAAATAGCCTCGCCCTGTGTCCCTGGAGGTCAAACCTTCAGCCTTTACCCTGAGATCAACATTTACTGCCCAGCTCCCGTAAGTCCCTGTCTCAGGAGGCACTGATGGGGTAGTGGATCCCCCTGGGCAGGGGATAAGTTAACAGCAAATCCAGCAGCTGTGATCTTTTTTTGTGTTTCTGATGTCAATCATAATCATTTGCATATTTAAAGGGAAGTTTAAAAAAATTACAGCCATCAAGGTCTTTCAATAATCACTAACATCTGAATAGTGTTTTTCAGTGTAGAAAACATGCCCGTATGTGGGAGCTCACAACATCTATATGGTGCAGATATTATTATTATTGTCCTCATTTTCCAGATAAGAAAATTCAGAGAGATGAAGTGACTCCCCCAAGAACACCCAGCTGGTAAGCACCAAAGCCAGGATGTCAACCGTGGGTCTTTTTACTCTAAATCCACATCACTGTCATGCATGGATGAATGAGATGGTCCAGTATTGCACAGCAGAACAGAATTGAAATGTACTTGCTCAGGTCACCTGGTCTAAGTCACCTGCTTACAGTAATGCATTGACACACCTACCTTTTTAAATTTGTTTTGTTTTGTTTTTTTAGACAGAGTGTTACTCTGTCAGCTAGGCTAGAGTGCAGTGGCACAATCTTGGCTCACTGCAACTTCCGCCTCCCAGGTTCAAGCGATTCTCGTGCCTCAGCCTCCTGAGTGACTGGGACGACAGGTGTGCACCACCAAGCATGGCTAATTTTTTTTGTACTTTTCTTTTTTTAGTACAGATAGGGTTTTGCCATGTTGGCCAGGCTGGTCTCGAAATCCTGGCCTCAAGTGATCCACCTGCCTTGGTTTCCCAAAGTGCTAGGATTACAGCTGCAAGCCACTACACCCGGCCCTACTTTTTTATAGATGAAGGAACCAAAACCCAGGAATTTTAGAGGCTCCTGCCAAAGACCCTTCTTAGGAAGTATTCTTAGAAATTCCCAGTTCTCCCTGAGATTCATGGTCTGACTAAAACTTACAAATTAATATCTCCTATAGGAGAGCTATAAAGGGTACCCTACTTAGATAATTTGCTAATAATGATTCCTTGCTTACCTGTACAGAAGCTCCTGTTCTCTTTGGCCAGGCAGTCAGATCTGCGGATGCAGAAGCTCTCACTTTCCTTGTTAGCATCTGCCAGTTCAGCTCTTTGGAAAGGGAAAGGAAGCGAGTGGCCTGGCCAGCTCTGTTCCCCTGAGCCTGCTCCTGGAATGAAGGGGTGGAGGTGGGGCCAGGAAGGTTGGGAAGATTCGGGTTCAGAAGGGCTTTAATGAGGACCAGCTAGGTTCCCAGTGCTCTTAAGCTCTGTAGGGAATTCGGAGGTAGAAAAGCCGACTGTCTTATTGGAGAAATGACTTATTTGCAATAAATTACTAGTAGCCAGCCAGGCGCAGAGCTGAATGGGGAGTTAGTAATTTCTCAGTGAGTTCCAAGAGCCTATTGTTAGAGAAGTCAGAGCAACGCTGTATGTGCGAAACCTCTGCCTTCCTCCGGTAGGATTCAGCATCACACCTGCTTGGGCAGAGATTTCCAGCCTCCTGGGATGTTCCAAGAAGGTCATTCCTGGCTGCCACGATGGGTGCAGATCCCTTCCCTCTTCTTCTATGTGCTTGTGGGGTCTCAAGGACTCTAGAGGGTTCAGCATCCCTCTAACATCAGATGCAGGTTCTCCCCTCCTGACACCTTCTGT